ACGGTTCTGTTCAGGTTGTTGACTTCTTGGTTTAATTTTAACTTAGCGAAGTACATATTTTTAAGATAGTCTTTTATAATGTTCTGAATTTCTTTGGTGCCAATTGTAATTTCTGTGTTCATTTCTGATTCTGTTAACTTGGGTTCTTTCTTTCAGTTAGCTGTGCCAAAAGTCTGTTGATCATATTTTTGTTTTCAAAGAACCAACTCTTAGACTCATTGATACTTTGCATTTAATTCCTGATTTGATTTTTATTATTTCTTGCTATTTATTTCTTATTATATTTGACTTGCTTTTGTTCTTCCAAATCTTTGGGCTTAGTCATTAAGTCATTTATTTGTGCCTTTTCTCCGATTGTTTGATGTAGGCTATATGTAGAGCTACACATTTCTTTAGTAGGACTGCTTCCAAAATATATCACAGGTTTTGTTTGCTTTTTTGTATTTTCATAAGAGAACATTTAGTTCTAGGAAATATTTTATTTCTTCATTTCTACTTTGACTCATTCATCATTCAGCAATGTGCTGTTTAACTTTCATAAGTTTGTGTACTTACTTGCTGTGCTGTACTTGTTTGCTGTTGATTTTAAATTTTAGTGTAATATGGTCAGATAGGGTACACAGAATTATCTCCATCTTTCTGAATTTGTTAAGATTTGTGTCCCAGAATATGGATTAATTTAGAGAAGATCTCAGGTCCTGATCACTAGAATGTATTTTTTCTTTTGATGTTTAGCTAGAATATTCTGTGGATATCTGTTATAGCCATTTGCTATAACATATTATAGTTTAATGTTTCTTGCTTATTGTTGGTCTATATGACCTGTCTATTAAAGATAGTGGGATATTGAAATCACTTACTATTAATAGGTTGATACTAATGTGTGTCTAATTCCTGTAGTTCACATTTTAAAAAGCTAAGTGCAACAGAATATGGTACATCTATGTTTAACATAGTGATGTCTTCTTGGTTAACTGTTTTCCTTGATTAGAATAAAATTTCATTCTTTATCTCTTCTGATTATTTTTAATTTGAATTCTATTTCATCATTTATTAGAATAGTGATACCTCTTGCTACCTGGTCTCATTTGGTTAGAGTGGTTTTGTTTACTTACCCTTTTTCTCTAAGGTGGTATCTATCTTTAAGTTAATATATTTTGATTATAAAAAATAACAAAAGTCAGCCTTTGTTATTAAGTATTATAGGTCAATAATCATCCATGTTTGTTATAGTTAGACTAATCAGACTCTTTAGATACATAGAGATTGTTTTGTGCATAGATGGGTAATCTTCAACCACTTCAACGAACTGTAGAACATGACATTTTAATAACTTAGGGTTCTGTTGATATAAGACATGATTGCTCTTGGCAGCACCTATCTATTTCTGAAAGAGTATTGAGTACCAAAGACACTCCACTTGGAGCTTCTTTTCTTCTTGGCAAAACTGACTTTTGGGCAAGGAACTGCCCATGCCTAAACCACTGACAAAATATACATTGTCTGGACTGGACAAGCAGGATATAAGAAAAAAGACTGACAAACCTTTCCAAGACAGGGTAAGACAGTTTTGAAAATCTTCCTGCCTCTGAAAATGGTCTGTCAGTTACTCTAGGCCTTAGCCAAATCCGGTTGCTCCAATGTTACAAATGAGACTTTGGGTGAGTGACCAGGTAGCCAGTTGTCTCTGTCATCTACTGCATATTTTGGAAGCTGTTTGAATGCACTTCCTTCTTACTCAACTAATAATATCTTCCTTCTCAGGTCTTCAATTGGGTTGAAGATTAGATAGTCATAGTCACTTTCCTCTTATGATTTAACCAAGCCATTTCTAATAAAGACTTAGACTCTGTAGGATAGAATAATTATTGAAATATTTAGCATTTGTTTCTTGCTTAATATTGCTTATACTGGTTGTAATTCTAATTTTTATACTTGATATCTTTTCTTATTATTATATAGTTTTGTATTGGGTTTGGAACTCTCTTATTGAGACAAAAAAGGGAGGTGTTGGGGAACCTCCTTCAGACAGTGGAAGGTGGGGCAGGGCTTTGGGTACCAAAAGGCCAGCGAGACCACCCTCTCAGCCTCTTATTTCCACTTGCCACACCTAGATGTTAGACCCCATTCCAGTCCATAAGTTTTCCTTTTAATAAAGAAAAACCTTAGTATACCCTGTTTGTAGCTAGTGTGGAATTATTTGATTCATGCTCCCCCTCATCTGATGTGTTTCTGCTTCAGAAAACCTTTAGCTAGACTAATGAGGAAAAAAGATGTAACAAAACAATAAAATCAGATATGAGAAAAGAGGTACTGCAACAGATATTACTGTGAACAATGAGGTTATGGAGCTGGAAAATAGGGAGAAATGAATTATTGAATATATGCAGCCTTCTAAAATTGATTAGGATTGAAAATATAAATGATCACTAATGAATAATGATATTGGAACAGTATTTGAAGATCTCCCATCTAAAAGCAATTTAAGGTTTCACAGTTTTATTGAATTATTCAAAACAATTCATTGCAATTCTTCTTAAGCTATTTCCATGGAACTGAAATGTAACCCTGTCAGGTTCTTTTTATGAGGTTACCATTACCCTGATACTCAAACCTGACAAAGGTATACCTCCCCAAAAGAAGTCTCTAGACCCTAATCTCTGATGAACACTGATAAAAAACCTTATCAGTGAAGAACTAGCAAATTCAGTAACAAATGATTGTGATGGCTAACCTTCACTGTTGACTTGACTGGGTGTAGAATCACCTAGGAGACTTCTGAGGCACACCTCTGAAAATACACGTGGAGCTACTTAGCTGAGAGGTTAAGATATACTTTGAATGTGGGTTTCACTATGCATGGCACCATCCATATGCTTCAGGCCTACACAGAAGAACAGGGAAAAAAAGAGTAAGGCAGCCGAGTCCCAGCAGTCCCCTGCTGCAGACTACCCCAGCTATACCTCTCCTTCTGCATTGTGATGGACTCTATCCTCCAAAACTGTAAGCAAAACAAAACCATCTCTCGCTTAAGCCGCTGAAGTCTGGCATTCTCTGATGATAACAAGAAAGCTCACTAGCATACACAGAAAATACACACCTTGGAAGAATGGGATTCATCCCAGGGATTCAAGGGTTGCTTTATAGTGTCTACCATGACCATGACACAACATATTCACAGAGGGAAGAACAAAATCATATAGTCATTTCACTTGATCAGAAAAAGCATCAGATATGATTTCCCACTTCATGCTGGAAAGTGAACCACCTTTCACCAAATTAAGAACAGAAGAATCAAACCTCAAATGAAAAACCCACAGTTGAGCCTGTTTCCTCTAAGATCACAGATAAGATAATCCTACATCAGTTCTGTTTCTTCTAAAGCGTGATAGAAGAACTCCTGGTTAAAACAGTCTGATAAGATTCAAGTGGCTCAAGAGTACACAATGGCCATCTACATAAATGCCATGGATGAAATGGAAATATTTATGACCTTGATTTATTACATTTTATTTGTGTATTATATTACCATAATATATCACAGAAAGTTATGCAAATACACATTCATCGATTAAAATATAGACATGGGTTTCTGTATCAATTCTGCTTCTGTTTCCAAACGGGTAAAAATCCATTCTATAAATACTTAACCAAGCCCCTTCTCTGACGCCTACATCTTTCCCAGGCCTGCACTCAGAAAATCACCTCAAATAATTGTTTATTAAAGATTTCCTTTTATATTTCACTAGGATATTTTTAGATACAGATATTCCTTTTTATAAAATTAGGGTTGTCAGAAAAAAACTACAGATTTTTAATCCTTCTTGGTCTACATGCGTTTATTATGCACAGGCATAACACTTCTACGTTCCTTTTGGATTCAAATTAATAAAAATTTCTTACATTCTTTCTTCTCTTGTGTTTTCTACTAGAGTTATGATTTCAATCTCTCTGGATGGCCTTTCAAAGGAGACTCACAGATGGCACAGTAAACACAACTGGTGTGCTGCCATTTTGAAACAGCCATCCTTTTGCTAATATGACTTCATTATTTTTTAATTTCTTTTCACTGTGCAGATTCACTGTACACATAGTATGCTACATACAAGTGTAAATTGTCTGTTGAGCATAGCCCATCCCCCAGCCTCCCTTTGCTGCTTACTCTCATTAGCTTCCTTTGTTTCCCTAGACAGTCCCCACTTCTATGATGTGAAATATACATGAAATGTATCATGTATCTATATATAAGATCTGAGAAATACAAATGAGAGAAAACATGGGATTTGTATTTCATGGCATTTATCTTTCTGAGAAGGGCTTAATTAGGTTAATATGATTATCTCCAGTTGCGTCCATCTTCCTGCTTGTGCTGAAAAAGAAATCATGAAAGTTGGTTTCCAAAAGGAAAAAAAAAGAGAGATTTGTGAGATGGCTCGGAAGGCAAAGGCACTTGTCAGCAAGCTTGATACGCTGAATTTAATCCATATAATCCCTAGATCCCACATAGAGGAAGAGGAGAGCTGATTCTGCAAGTTGTCTTCTGACTTCTATAATTCTCTGCATGCAAAATAATAACTAAACATATAGGAAATAAATAGAAAATGTATAGAAAACAAACCCCCAAACTGCGCAAGCATTAAAGTATCTTAAAGGGATACCAAAGCCAGCTGAAAATTCTCCAACTAGTTCCATCTGCATTAACCTCAGTGACAAAATACTGGGGTGTTACTCAAAATAAAAATTTTATTCCCATGAGGTCATATTGATGTAACTAAATGACTGAATAAATTAAGAAAGAGCACACAAATCTCCCATGCAGAAGTCCAACTACTATCTGAACATAAGCTATCAGTGCTCAGTTCAATAGAGCATGAGCTCCATCCTCATGTCTGAGCAGTGGACAGAGACTTCTCTGCAAGAAGTACAGCATTCATTGGAGGGAAAGAATAATATTGACTCAGTCACACGGACAAGGTCCACATTCAGCCATGAGGCAACATGCTGTCAGTGTGTTTTTAGGGTGACTAACCTGCCACCTCTTGATCTTCTTCATCCCAAAGCCACATTCAATTATAAGAAAAATCAGGCGAAGCCTAATAGAAGAGTATCAACAAAACTTGATTGTTACTTCTTTAAGCAAGAAAAGACAAAGGCTTTGGCAGCCCAGAGGAATCTGTGAAGACAATCCAGTGAGATGTGAAGGTATCCTGGAGGCACTCAAGAAAAGAAAAGGCACGTGGCGTTACAGTCAAGGAATTCGTAAGAAGGTAACAGACTCTGGTCAGTAATGATGTATCAGTGTTAGTTTTGCCACCCTGGCTAGTGTACCATACTGATATAAGGATGTCAACAACAAAGAAACCTGGCCATGACGCAATGGACTGTGCATTATCTTTGCACGTGGTTTTCTTTTCGTTCTCATTCTGTAAATCAAACTGTTCTAAGGTAAAATTATCTCAGGATAAATAAGCGGGTGAAGGCACAAGGCCAGGGAGCCCTTCTTCAAATTTCAGTGCAGGCAAATCTGTAGAAAACAATACATTTTACAAGTTCGAATGTAGACTAGACTATAGAGTTATTTCTTCTTTTTTATCCATTGAGAGAAATAAATATAAATAAGGTAAAAACAAATTGGATGTTGTAAAACGCAGCCAGCAAAGAGCAAATAGCATTGGATTGTGGTAAATAGCTTGTAATCACAGTAATCAGGCTAAGGTTGGTGAGCCAAGCTATTTAGAAATAGTTTTCTAAGAAAGTAATTGCCTTAATTTGAAGCCGGGATATATTTGGCAGGGGGTGTGGCTTAGAGTAGTAAATAAACCCACTCAATTATTAATTAGTTTTAAATAGCCATAGCCCCAAAGCACAGAAATTACTGATTCATATTAGGGAATAAATTAGAAGAGGATATGAACAATTTTTCAAAATTGTATTCGTTTGATTACCAAAAGCTCTATTTTGAATTCCCATTTGAGGCAGGATCATCACAGAACAATGTTTCTATGTGATTTTAAATTGGTTTATACTATGGAGATAAATGATACATTAACTTTTTACACTTGAAAATATTTCCCAGTAATCTGATACGCTAGTTTATATGTTTTTTGTTGTTATTTAGTATTTGAGGTACTGCTGATTTACTTTTTGCCATCTGAATTGAAAGTTTACTTTTCCTCCAATATAATAAGACAAAATGAAGCAAAGTGTTATCAAAATATACTTTATGTAGTCATATCTGATTCTGCCAGGTAAATTCATATAGATGAAGAAAGCAGCTACTCATGATACCATCATATCATATTTTAAAATGCAATTTTTTGTTTGCTTTTAACTCTGAACTGCAACTGTGACCTTACATACATATAATATGTATACTTTGTATTCTTCCTTTATTATTCTACAGTTTCCCATCAGTATTTTTTTTTATGTCTTTAAAAAATATGTGTGTGTTCATGTGGAGGTAATAGTTAGATGTCGGCTGCTCTTCACCTTATTTTTTGAGACAGGGTTTCTCTCCACACCCAGAGCTTATGGATTTGGCTATGCTGGTTGGCCAGCAAGCTCCAGGATCCTCCTGTCTGCATCCCAGTGCCAAAATTACAGGCATACATGGGTACAACTAGCTTTTCTGTGAGTTGTAGGGGTCTAATTTGATGCACATGCTTGAGTTGCAAGCACTTTACCAAAGGAGCCATCTCCCTAGACCCCTAAAAGTTTTAATGATGTCTATTCTGAGTGCTATAATATTCTGTCTCAGTCACTGTTCTATTGCTATGAGGAGACACCATAACCAAGGCAACTAGTATAAGAGAATACTTTTAATTGGGGCTTGCTTATATAGTTTCAGAAGTTTAGTCCATTATCATCATGGTGAAATGCAGGGTCTCAGACAGGTACAGTGCCATGCAGGCATCTTGCTGGAGAAGTATCTGAGAGCCGCATCCTGGTCCATAAGTAGAGAGTGGAACTCTGGGTTTGGCATGGACTTTTGAAACCCTAAAGCCAACCTCCAGTGAGACATTTCCTCCAACAAGGTCATACCTCATAATCCTTCTAATCCTTTTAAATAGTGCCACTCCCTATGACTAAGCATTCAAGTATATGAGCCTATGGGGACCATTCTTATTCAAACCACCATATCTCTTAAATCAGTGGCCATATCATGGTTTACCACTAAGTGATGAACCTAACTGGAGTTGCTCACTTTAGCAGGAATATTTGATTCACTTATATATTTTCCAATTAAAGTAGAGAACTTAAAGTCAGAAATTTGTTCTGTCTTTATGTAAAACACCCTCATATCTATAACTCCAGAAGGAAACTCTGGATCCAAACAGTCAAATATTTGGGTTAAAAAAAACCCAAAGATTGAACATATTTTCTATATTACTATATAGATACTCTGATTCATTTTTATTGTCAACTTGACATAACCAAGAAGTCACCTGGAAAAAATGAGTCTCAAATTGAGGGATTTCCCATATCAGATTGACCTGAGGGTATGTTTATAAGTAATTGTCGTGATTACTGAAAGAGCCCAGCTCACTGTGGATGTCCAAGGGTAGGAGGTCCTTCCTTGTAGGACTGAACATTTGCTAGAGAGAACAAGGCAATGAGCAGCTTCCATCTATGGTTCCCACCCTGAATACCTCACTGATGGACTCTTCTTGGAGGTATAAACTAAATAAACCTTTTCCTCTCCAAGTTGCTTTCTGGTCAGGGTGTTTATCACAACAGTGGAAAAGCAGACTAAGATGGCAGGAAAACGGAATCCCCACTACATCACAGACACCCAGAAATAATTTCCTCTAACACCGAGTGCCCACCCATGTCCTTGCACAGGGAACCACTGTCGGGAGAACATTTGTCTTAGCACCATTTATCCAACACTCACTGAACCTCTGAAGGTGGCTGTTGACAACCTCAAGGTCAGGGCTGCCAGCTCACTTCCTAGCAAGTCAATGGCCGGCCTTTCAGGGTTTCTGTTTTTTTTTTTCAAGTAAATTTTATTAAATTATAAAAGTTTCCATTTCTGCCCCTCTTCCCAACACCCTCCCACTCCCCCCCACTCCCTCTCCTCCTCCCTCTTCGTCCCTTAGGGCAGTCAGGGTTTCCTGCCCTGTGGGAAGTTCCAGTTCCCTCCCCCTCCCTCCAGGTCCAGGAAGGTGAGTGTCCAAACAGACTGGATCCCCAAAATCCAGTATATGCAGAGGAAACAGGTCCCAGTATCATAGTCAATGGCTTTTCAGAAAGACTTCGGGCCAGCCACAGTCAGAGAATCCGGCCAAATTCCGAGAATCTGGTTAGATCACGTCCTCGTTCAGTCCCAGTCCAACTGGCCTTGGTAAACTCTCATTAGATCCGTTCCCTTGTATCAGTGGGTGACAGCATCCCTCGCAGTACTGATTTCGTTTTTCATGTTCTTCCTCCTTCTGCTCCTCATTTGGACCTCGGGGGGCTCAGTCCGATGCTCCAATGTGGGTCTCCGACTGTATCACCGTCCTTCGCCAGATGAAGGATCTATGGTGATAAGCAAAATATACATCAGTATGGTTATGGGCCAAGGCCGATTCAGGCACCCTCTCCTCTGTCCAGAGAACAATCTGGGGGATCTCTCCTTGGACCTGGGATCCCATATATAATCAAGTCTCCTGTAAACCCTAAAATGACTCCCTTAGTTGAAATATATTCTTCCCTGATCCCATATTCGTCCTTCCTCCCTCCCCCCCATCCCAGGCCACCGAGCTTTCCCCGTTCCTCCCCTACTCCCTTCTCTCTAACCCTCTCCCCTTCCATCAACCCTCCCACCCCCCCATGCACCCGAGGTTACCTGGGACTCTTGTCTATTTCCTACCTCCTGGTGGATAGCTAAATAATCTTCATCAGGTTCATCTTCTTATTTAGCTTCTCTAGGATCACGAATAATAGGCTTAAAGACCTTTAATTATGGTTAGAATCCACTAATGAGTGAAAACATACCGTGTTCCTCTTTTTGGGTCTGGCTTACCTCACTCAGTAAAGCGTTTTCTATTTCCATCCATTTGCATGCAAAATTCAAGATGTCATTGTTTTTTACCGCTGAGTAAAACTCTAATGTGTATATGTTCCACACCTTTTTTAACCATTCTTCTATTGAGGGGCACCTAGGCTGTTTCCAGGTTCTGGCTATTACAAATAGTGCTGCTATGAACATAGTAGAACAAATGCTTTTGTAGTATGTTAGGGAATCTTTAGGGTATATTCCCAAGTTTATATGGCAAAACAAAAAACCCAGGATAGCCAAAACAATCTTATACAATAAAAGAACTTCTGGAGGCATTACCATCCCTGACTTCAAACTCTATTATAGAGCTACAGTATTGAAAACAGCTTGGTATTGGTATAAGAACAGAGAAGTCGACCTATGGAATCGAATAGAAGACCCAGATATTAGCCCACAAACTTATGAACACCTAATTTTCGACAAGGGAGCTAAAGGTATACAATGGAAGAAGGAAAGCATCTTTAACAAATGGTGCTGGCATAACTGGATGTCAACCTGTAAAAAAATGAAAGTAGATCCATATCTATCACCATGCACAAAACTCAAGTCCAAATGGATTAAAGACATCAACATTAATCCGTCCACTTTGAACCTGATAGAAGAGAAAGTGGGAAGTAGTCTACAAGATTTAGGCACAGGAGGCCTCTTCCTAAGTAGGACCCCAGCAGCACAGACAATAAGAGAAACAATGAATAAATGGGATCTACTGAAACTGAGAAGCTTCTGTAAAGCAAAGGACACTGTCAGTAGGACAAAAAGGCTGCCTTCTGACTGGGAGAAGATCTTCACCAACCCCTCATCAGACAAAGGTCTGATCTCCAAAATATACAAAGAACTCAAGAAACTAGACACTAAAACTCTAAATAACCCAATTAAAAAATGGGGTACTGAACTGAACAGAGAATTCACAACAGATGAACTTCGAATGGCCAGAAGACACTTAAGGTCATGCTCAACCTCCTTAGCGATCAGGGAAATGCAAATCAAAACCACTTTGAGATACCATCTTACACCTGTCAGAATAGCTAAAGTCAAAAACACCAACGATAGCCTATGCTGGAGAGGATGTGGGGTGAGGGGAACACTCATCCATTGTTGGTGGGAATGCAAACTCGTGCAGCCACTGTGGAAATCAGTGTGGCGGTTTCTCAGGAAACTGGGAGTCAACCTCCCTCAGGACCCAGCAATTCCACTCTAGGGTTTCTGTTTTTTCTGGTGGAAACA